ATGGAGTTGAATAGGGTCTTGGTGGGCTGGCTCCGGCAATACTCATATGAGGTCACCAGCCAGTGGCATCTAACATCGACAATGGATGATGATGATACTCAGTACCAATATTGCGATATAGTCATTGTGTCACCTTCTATACACAACCAGCCAGTGGTTATACTTGAACTTTTAGCCACAGGAACTGATAAAGAAATTGATGAACATTTTACCCGGTCACTTGAATATTCAATCATTAATTTTACCCGTGCGGATGATACTCTTTCAAACCCTCATTGGCAGAACAAGGAGCAGGCAGCAGATGGCCTCAACGTTATGCATATTTGGCATGATATGAACTTCAAGACCTGATAAAAATGTGCAACAGTAATAGACCAAACACCTTTGAAACGCTGAAGCTTTGATGGACATTTCTGTTTTTGACCACGTGTGAGGCGGGCAAAACAAAGGTGTGAATCAATTCCGTCACGTGTATGTTCAACCGTATGTATTTTGTCTTATAAGAGTACTCCTAGCGTGATGTGTCTCACGGGATTACTAGCGCAAAATAAAGATATGCAATATTGGACATTCTGCTAGATTGATGTGTCGTTCTATACAAAGTTTTCTCTTTTAAAAGGCTTTTTCAGTTTAATGGTACGGTATGGCGGATGTGTTCATACTTGAATACACAAATATTTATACGTAATTGTCTTACAATGAACCTACAGGTGTTCAATGAACAATTGACAGTTATTGTTACGGTGTTTTAGTCTGTGGCATAATAGTAGGCATTATTAATTTGTGTTATTATAACAAAATTTGTGAATAAATATATAAACTGCAAATTGTAAAATTTTTGCTTGAAATCTAAATTAGTTTTCAATTATATTGAGAATGGCATAATGGTTATTGGATATAAATAATGCGAAACAAATGTCCCCTATATTATAAAGAAATTGGTAAAAACTAATATATATATAGGATACCCGTATATAGAAAATTATAATTATAGTGGTTCAACTGAATATGAAAAAGCTATGCGTTTCTTGGAAACAGGTTGCAATTGTAGTTGTTCAAAAAAGATTTCGAGAAAAAATTTCGCCGAATTACGTGAAGCGTTTCAAGCTCTCTCTAGATATATTTGTAATGGCTCAGCTAAAAGCGATGAACGGTGGAGAGATAACTACCAGCCGACGTCTTAAAAAGAAAACGCGTACTAATAAGTGAACGTTTTACTACTGAGATCGCAATACGCCGCTTTGTCAGAAAACGTATCTCAAGAACACCTAGGCCTACTAGAAATCCAGCTATTTCACGTTCATGGTCATTTGTGATAACAACAGAGTCTAG